TGGATGGTAATAAGTATCTATCATAAAACAATATAAGTAAAAACAAGTTAGTCTTCCATGGTGTAACTCCAGAGAGAGGAAATCCTTGGCCAAAATACCTAACTGAAACCGAAGTCAGTCAAAGGGAGAAATAAGGTTTAAAATCCATTTATTGCTTATAATCAGTGATCTGGGGGCCTTCTCTCTCCGGCTCTGGCAGAAGCAAGTGAATCCTCCCCCAGCCTCTCAGCTTCAGATAAGCCCTTGGTCACCCAGGTAATTACCAATGGATATGGAGATGAACCACTCCTCTCCACCCCTTAGGAATGCCTGTTGATATGGAGATAGATGTACTAAAGCCAGGAGAGAGATTCTGGAAATACTGCAGTTTTACCCACACATGGATAAGCACATAACTTAGTCTGTGTACTTTCTGCTACAAATATTTTCCAGAATAATTTTAGCTCCTACAGTTAATCTTATGTAATAATTAATATGACGAGTAAATCAGATCTGGAATTATGTCTGTTTTTATACTAAGGAACATATTGTACCATTATTCTGTATTCATATTTATTAACAAATTTCAAAGGTCACATTGTCCCTAATCTTTGCTGTGCAAATCCTTCTGGTGTTTTTGTCCAGAAATAGTATAGTAATACCTATGAGACAGCAAAGAGTTTTTTTTTTTTCCAAAAAGCATGCCTCAAGTACATGAAAAATCCTTGAAAAAAAAGGGGGCATATTTTTCTTAGAATTCAAAATGTGACTTTTTGGGGGGTATAGTAAAGGGATAGTTTATGTAATCCCAAGAAAGAAACCATAGGATGAGGAGGAAACAGAGCTTCATTAGTTTAGTAACTGGTTGACATAGCGGGGCATAAAGAGAAAGGATGTATGGCAAACAGAGGCAGACAAGCTTTGTTCCTTTTATATAAGTATTAGCAGCTGGTTGATTGGAATATCAGTTGTCTAAAAACACTAATCATTGCTCTTGGCAGGAAGCCTGATTGTTATATTTTACAGACTAATTTTTATTTCTCACATAATTACAAATAGAAAAGGCAATTCGTTTCCTCTCAGTGTCCTAATTGTTCAAAAAGCTGTATCTTAGGGCACCTCACCTTAAATTTCAGCTTCAAGAGCAGGAATTTTTAACAAATATTTGTAAGGATATGAGCATCCTTCCCTTGGTAAACTATAGGTTGTACTTGGCTACAGAGGCTTATTAGAGTCAAAGTATTCCTTACTCTCATTTCTACAGACTAAAATATTGTCTGCCCGCAAGGACAGGTTGCCTTCTCTTCTAGAATCATTTCAGTAATATAAAATTAATGTTTAGTGGGTTTTCTTCCTAATTGCAAAAGTCTGACATCCTGTCCATAAATAGAAAAAAAAATGCTAGAACACAGATGGAACTATGCTTAACCTAGAAAAATTAAATTGAATAACTTTTTATGTATTAGTGCTTTTATTCTGTCTTATGATTATTTTCACAATGAGCATGAATATAGTTATAATCAGAAAACGCATTTAGGAAGTCATCTGTTTCTTATAGAAGATTTAAAAAGAAACCTTTAAAATATGAGTGATAACAAGTCCCCCACATTGCTGAATTCACTCTGTCCTTGGGTCCTAATCCCAGTTATTAGGGTCCTGCTTGTTCTGGTGACCACCTTCTCCATATGTCTGGTTTCTAGTTTACTTAGGCCAGAGACCCTCTTCTGATTACATACCCAATCCCAACATTTCACTTAAGCTAGGATCCTGTTAACTATACCTAACTATCTTTCTGCCTGCTGTAGGTGCTACATTAATATTTTTTCCTTCCTTTCTTTCAATCCAAATCCTAATGGTGAGTTACAGACTTCCATTTCCCATGGTCCATGGCTAATTTTAGAGTTTCCTCTTGTTTTCTTCTGCCTGGCTTTGTTCATGCTCCTTACCCAATCTTTTTTGCCTTAATCCACAAAAATCACACATCCTTGTATCATTTTATAATCCTGTTTAATCTGGTCTTATTTTGCTGCTGAGAAAGCACCTTCTTTCCCCAAGATTCAGCATTACCCTGAGATGTAAGAATCCCCTCTTATGAGATGTATTCTTACATGCTTTCCTGACTATTCATTTCCTAGTTTCTAAACTGTCCATCATTCTATCTTATACTTTGCTGGAGTGAGAAATCTTGTCATATGACATCTATTTTAGAGTAATTTTCAGCTTTGGTAGACCCATACCCATATGTCAAAATTCAAGAATAAAAAAGATTCATATAAACATTTCCCTGAGACCAGGGGTATATGATCTCCATTGAATTATACTGTATTTTTTTGGCTCCAGAAATAAAAAAAAGTCTGTAGCCTTTAAATGTTGACATTTGTTTTAATGCCCCATTCAAATGATTTTCAATATACTGTCTGGTAAATTTTCTATGCTCCTTATTTTTTGAAATTAGTTTCACTCTTTCTTTTCATGAAAGGGATCATGGCTCTTGAACCAAACCAAACATTTCAATGAAAAATTCTCAGCTGTCCGTTCAGGACTCTTTTATTTGTTTTCTTCCAGCATGTTTAATTTTTTAGCAACTGTTCCTTATTTTATTACTTTGACTACAGACTGAGGATTTAGAGAACTGACTCTATATCACTTGAATTCAATGAAAAGAAAATGGGCAGAGGGGATTTAGAAAATACGTTAATTCTTTACTTAATCTTGAAATATGTAGATAAATTAATATTCAAGAGCAACCCCTTGCCCAATTCTGCTTTCTAAGCTCATATGTATCTCTTATTTTTCTCTGGTTCAATAGCAGACTGTGTTCTATTCCCACCTAGTGTTCCACTGATTAGAATTGTTATTTTCCCTACTAAGGCAAATAACAAATTACCTCATGTGATTGCAAATATAACTAAATTCCCTCATTTTTTTAGACAAACCAAAATTACTATATTAAACACATACCCTCAGCCTCTCAACCCAGGAAACTCTTTGAACAGGAAACTGTCTATGGATGTCTGATGGAAAAATATGTTATGCCAAGACTCATTTAATTCACTTTAATGATATTGATGACACCCACTCTACTAGGCAATACAGGGGAAGCAAAGATCAATAATACATGGTCCTACTTCTAAAAGAACTCTTCACAGTTATTTACAAGAGAAGACATCTTCATTATGAAATAAAGCCAAGAGATTTGTTCTGCTCAGGCTATCTTTATTGAAAAGTAATGGATCCAGTTCTGTCTGTATAAGCCCTCATAAAGTGGTCCCCCACTTCAGTAATTCCCATGTTTGACCATGCTGCTGCTCTGTAGACTCGCCTGGAGTATTAAGAGCTTTCATCAAATCCTCATGTAATAGTAAGGCTGGATCTTGCTGTTCAATAGTGAGAAAAATTTATAGTAAAGCTTAACTCCCTAACAAGGAACTTCCCAGTACCACTACCAAACATAATCTGGGTAAACACAGAGTGAGGGGAATGTACTAATAAAGAAAAATATGCTATTACCATACCATGGACTTGACAAATATTGGAAGGTTGGCCATTTCAACATTGTGGGAAGGTATTATGAAGTGAGATTTAAGGATTATTAATGCAAAATTTAAACGGTAACCTTCTAGCATTATTTAACAGCTAGGCCCCTACAGAATTTATGTAAATACCCATCATTATGCATCAGGCAGTTGTATGAACATATCTACAAATAAGAACTAGGGAGTGCTAAGTCCTCCTCCCAGGAGGTCACCTGCATAAAGGGATGTGAGAAGCACAGAGAAGACCTTGCAACCAAACAAGGGTCTTTTCTGTCAACCTGTAGTTGTTTCTTGAAAACCCACCATCAGCACTATTATTAGTATTTATTTAGTGTTCTGAAATCTTTGGAATATGTCTGCTACAGTCATACAATTTGATCTTCAAAATAATATTGTGCAAAGATAGATATATAGAGGAGGAAAGTGAGCCTTGAGACCTTAAATGTCTCTGTAAATTACAAGTGGCAGAACATTAATTCATTTCACAGAACATGGGCTGTATCCCTACTAGGTGCCAGGGACAACACTAGGCACTGTTTAGCTACAAAGAAGAGAAGTATGGAAGATGGCTCCTGCTTAAGGAAGCCTATTTTAAATGTCACATGGTAAGAACTATGCTAGGGAACTCTGGTCTCCTGACTACTTGTCCAGTGGATTTTTCCAACACACCCATGGCTTGTCATTAACAAGTCCTTCCATGTACTATTAAAAATGATCTCCTGTTAAAATGTAAGTCACCGGGGGAGAGTGCCACTTTTAGTCTTTATTACTAGCGCTTTCTTATAAGTTAGTTGATGAGCTCTTTCATAAGGAATGGGCAGTGAAAGCAGTGCCCTGCAGAAGGAATTACATAGGAGGAGCATACTTTGGGGTTCGGGAGGGTTGAAGTGTCAGGGAGAGTACTAAGTCAGAGAAAAGAGGCCTGGTTCAGACAAAAAAGGGCTGGGGATGTTTCTAGAGCATTAAGCTCAGCACTAAGAATACTTTTTATCCACTTCACAGTTTTACCAAGAACCAATGTAGATCAAGGATAGCAATATATATATATATATATATATATATTTTTTTTTAAATTAATGTTTCCTGAGTACCAATCTCAAGCCAGAGACTAGGTTAGGCTCTGAAGATTAATAGAGCAATGAGCAACCTGTTGATCATCATTGACCCTCCCCTAGAGTTTACAGTATAGCAGGAATGTGGACATTATCGAGTAATTAATTATATGCTCTATGAAGCTTGTGTAACAGTGGAGACCAGTCTAATATGGGAAATGGGGAGTTCTTTGTGTTGAAATGACTGAATTGGGCCCACTGAGAGAGAATAAGTGAGCAACATTATTGTGTTCATTGTCAACACTTAAATCAATAATCAGGGGGCTCTCTCAAAATAGCAATTTCAGAAAAAAAATGATAGAATGATTTGTTTTATGTTGAAATTCTCCAGACTCACTGACTGGCTTGCATTGGTAACTTCTCATCCTCACAGAAAATGCATGTCTTCAGGAAGACCTTGCAGGCACTGATCTATCCCATGTCCTCCACCACTCCTCACAACTTTGAAGTCTGGACAGCCACAACACCTACCTACTGTTACGAGTGTGAAGGGCTCCTGTGGGGCATTGCCCGGCAAGGCATGAAATGTTTGGAGTGTGGAGTGAAGTGCCATGAAAAGTGTCAGGACCTCCTAAACGCTGACTGTTTGCAAAGTGAGTACTTGGTTAGGCCAAAAAAGTGGGCATGCAGAGCCTGCCTTGTCTTACATATTTTCAGACTAGACCCTTTTGGCTCTTGCTAGTTTTCAAGACCACTGCCACTCACACAAAGATTCACATACTGCCTCATAATAGCCCCCATGTGGTAAGTGGTATATGTATAGTCATGTTTCTGTAACAGGGACTAAGGCACACCCCTGTGATTACAGCAACTGGAATTCTTTCCAAGCCTATCTGGTGCCTGTCTGAAGGAGCCGTAACCTTGCACAGCCCCTGCACAGGCCTTAGGATTGTGAGGCTTTGTGTTTAAATGTCAAAGGGAAATCCACCAGATATGCAACCTCGGGCAAGGTTTTTAATTCCCAGGGCTTCATTTTCCTCCACCAAATGAACAGGAATAATAAAACTTAACTCAGAGAGTTATTGAAAAGAGTAAATGAAATAGTCTCTGCTAAGAGTCTGGTATATAGTAGATGCTCAATGAATATTAATGGTTTCTCCATCCTTTCACACTTCAAATAGATACATGTCACTTCCACCTTTATGACAAGTTTTCCTAACATTTTCATTTCCCAAAAAATCCTTTACACTGATATTTTAGGTTAGGTCTAGAAATATTAAAGCATCATAATTTAAAATCCCTATTATTAACTTTTCACTGCTGTATTTATTTGGTCATGTGGGCTGACCTTAAATACTTTTAAAAATTGCCAAAGAAATCTATTTAAACATGGATTTCCATTTGCAAATAATCTTCTTTCACATCTAAATATTCTCCCCTCTATTTATTTTTTATCCGAATGCAATCAATGTAAGATGTATCCGTTGCCTGAAATTGAGGAAGAGAGAGAAGAAAATGTCAAAACAAAGATTAAATCAGAAATGCTGTCACACAATCTACAGTTCTCTCTACGTGATTAGTATGCTCCCTACACAATCAGATAAGGTATAGGCTAATAGAAAAGAATGCATTTTTTTAAGTCAAAATAACTAGTAGCCTTTTCTGGAAAAATAAAAAGGTATATTTAGGAATGACTGCTTAAAAGGAAGGGGGATTGACTTGATATTACTCAGCCCATTTACTTGCACAATCTCTTAATCCAATCAAAATTCAGCCCACTTGTTTAACAAAATGAATTGTAAACAGGCATCTTATAAAATAAGCATATTAAGACTTATTGTGATATTGGAGAAAACAGATAGGAAAAATATTCTCTAGAAACAAATAGCTTTATCCCTTAAAGAAAAGAGTGACGCAGATCAGACCTAAGAAGCGAGCTCATTCTTTCAGACTTTGAGAGAAGAGATGCATTCCATTCAACAAACTTTAAAAATAATGCCATAATCAGTTTTCTATTTCTCAAGGCACCGTGTATTATTCGACAGTGGTTAAATAAATGAGACTTATTTTTCTTTGAGGTTATTCATTAAAATGCCCTTATAAATTAGAAGAATCAAAAATAGCGCAGAAAAATGAGGGTGGGTATGTATGTCCTAGGAAGGGGATATTCTAATAACATGCTACTTTTTCCCTAAAATCTATACTCACATTGAACAAAAAGAGGGTTTGCAAATATATGAATTCATCTTCACCACTTTTACTGAATATAATGTTTTTTTAAATAGTTGTCTTTTACAAATAATAATTGTCAATAAAATTCTCACAGCAGAATCAGTAAAATTTCCTTAAGAAATATCCCTTTTCATTGGTTCGAGCAAGAAATTTGAAGTGTTGACACCTTGTGTGAAATACTTCTGTGTGTATTATGAAAAAAAATACACCTTGTATAAAATACTTCCAACATTTCAAGGGATAGAGAGAATAAAAAATTGAGAAATCAGAGTTGGATGGTAGGGCTAGTGAAACCTCCTGTAAATGGAAGGAGATTCTATTAAGTTTTCCTCAAAAGGGTCATTCAATGTCTGAATAACTCAAAGGAAAATTTAACACCTTGGCAGGCAGCTTAATTCATCATTAGAAAATTTAGTTTACAAATTAAAATTTGAACCAGGTCCTGCCTCCTTGTAATGTCTATCTTCAAGCCAAATCTTAACTCTGGTAGAAAAAAAACTTTTTATGTTCTTTTTAAAAATTTAAGTATAGTTAACATGATATTTTATCGGTTTCAAGTGTATAACACACTGATTTAAAATTTATGTATATTACAAAATGATCACTACAAGAAGTATAATTACCACCTATCACCTTAAAAAAGTTATTAAAATATTATTGACTATATTCCCTATAATGCACCTTTTATTACCATAACTTATTTATTTTATAATGGAAGACTGTACCTCTTAATACCCTTCACCTATTTCACCCATCCCTCCCCAACCCCACCCATCTGGCAAACACCAGTGTGTTCTATGCATTTATGAGTTTGTTTCCGGGTTTGTGTTTGTTTATTTTTCAGATTCCACATGTAAATGAAATCATATGGTGTTTGTCTTTCTCTTGTCTAACTTATTTCACTTAGAATAATACCCTCTGGGTCCATCCATTTTGTCACAAATGGCAGGATTTTATTTCTTTTATGACTGAGTAGTATTCCGTTGTGTATATAGACCACACCTGAATCCATATAACTATGAATGCACATTTTGATTCATTCCATATCTTGGCTGTTCTGAATAATGCTGCAATAAACATAGGGGTGCATATATCTTTTCAAATCAGTGTTTTTGTTTTCTTTGGGTAAATGCCCGGAGGTAGAATTGGGAACATGTGGTAGTTTTATTTTTAATTTTTTGAGAAAACTCCATACTGTTTTCCATAGTGACTATACCAGTTTACATTCCCAACAACAGTGTAGGAGGGTTCCCTTTTCTCCCCATCCTTGCCAACACTTGTAATTTCATGTTTTTTTTTAATGCTAGCCATTCTGACTGTAGTGAGATGATATCTTACTGAGGTTTTGATTTTCATTCCCCTGATGATTAGTGATGTTTAGCATCTTTTCATGTGTCTCTTAGCCATTTTGTTTATCTTTAGCAAAATGTCTATTCAGCTCCTCTGCCCATTTTTAAATTGAATCACTTGTTTTTTTAGTGTTGAGTTCTACAAGTTCCTTATATATTTTGGATAATAACCCCTTATTGGATATGTCATTTGCAAATATGTTCTCCCATAAGTTAGGTCACCTTTTAGTTTTGTTGATGGTTTCTTTTGCTTTGCAGAAGCTCTTTAGTTTGATGTAGTTTCACTTGTTTATTTTTGCTTTGTTTCACCTGTCTGGGGAGACATATCCATAAAAATTTGCTAACAATGTCCAAGAGTTTACTGCCTATGTTTTCTTTTAGGAGTTTTATGGTTTCAGGCCTTACACTTAGGTCTTTAATTCATTTCAGTTTATGTACGGTGTAAGAAAGTGGCCAAATTTCATTCTTTTGCATGTAGCTGCCCAGTTTTCTCAATACCACTTATTGAAGAGACTTTCCTCATTGTATATTTTGCCTCCTATGTCATAGAGTAATTGTTCATATAAGCATGGTTTTATTTCTGAGTTCTCTATTCTGTTCCATTGATCTATATGTCTGTTTTTGTGCTTGTCCAAGTTGACATATTTTGGTCCAATGTTGGTGTATTATTTTTCACAAAATTCTCTAATAATCCTCTATATTTTTGTAGTGTCAGTTGTAACTTTCATTTCTGAATTTATTTATTTGAGTCCTCTCTTTTTATCTTGATGAGTCTGGCTGAAGGTTTATCAGTTTATATTTTCAAAGAGCCAGATCTTACTTTCATTGATCTTTTCTGTTTTTTTTTTAAATCTATATTTCAATTATATCTGCTTGATCTTTATTGTTTTCTTACATCTTCTAATATTAGACTTTGTTCTTTTTCTAGTTCCTTTAGATATAAGGTTACATTGTTTGATATTTTTCTTATTTCTTGTGGAGAAAATATTTAATTAGTGACTTTCACTGAATATAATGTTTTTTTTAAATACTTGTCTTTTTCAAATAATAGTCATCTTCGTGATTCTAAAACCCTCATTATATTGCTAATCATTTTCTGAAGACATTGCAGTGTGTTACCACACCTACACACTAGAATAAAATAACAAACAAAAGTTTTACGTGTGGTCTGAACAATGACCCATGCAGAAAAGAGAGTATGTAAAGTTACTTCTAGGTGATTTGAATTTGATATTCCCATTAAGTCTTTGGTCTGTGATTTACACATTTGAAGTCCAGTGGGATTAGACCAACTGTTTCTAAGATCTTATTGTTCCAGTATTTCCTTGAAAGTTCAGAGACGCATGGACATGTCAAATAAGTTTCCCAAACAGCCTCATCTTAGCTCCTGTCTGGATGATTTTACTTAGAGGTGGTTCCTATACTTCGCTGCCTTCTTGGCCCAGGGCTGACAACCAAGCAGAGTGGTGGATAGGAACTGAGGAAACCAAAGGGGAACAGATCAATCCTTGAGAAAAAAGAACTGATTTATCTTTCCCCTCCTAGTTCCAGGCCAGTGGCAGTAGCTAAAGTCCACCTGGGTTTTCTTTAATTAACTTATTTGTTTCCTGCTATTCAAAAAAGCATTTTATTCATTCTTGGAAACAACATTTAGTTGTGGAAGAATAGCCAATGGAGGAGCAGTTTGTGACCCTGAATGATGTTAACATAACCTATAAGGAACATTCTGTGACAGTATGGTGTCAGTTTTAAACTAGTAAAAGGCAAGGAAAAAAAGGCAACTGGAAAAATATGCAAATAATTATGGTACTTAACCCAATCAACCTGTGCTTCCTTACACAGCACAAAAGGAAGAATCCCAGAATCCCACTGAATAAACATTCTACCTAATTTTAATTCCTAATGGAAATTTCAAGTGCCTGAATTAAGAGAGAAAGCATTTCACCAAAAGTTTGCAGGAAAGCATCTTTTGAGATGCGTTCTATGGTTCTGTGTATTTCCTGCTGACATTATGTTAAGATTATGTGTCTTTATTAGCCATTGAAAATTCATTAACAAAATCTGGTTAGTGT